AGTTCCAAACATATTTTAGTCGATATTTTGAACTAATGCCATACTGTCTGGCAAAACTGACTCATTTGGGTACACATGAACAACGATTCTAATACCAAATTTCAGATGTTCATCCACTACCAAAAATCACCAAATGTACATGGTGCTATTTACCACTTTTCGTGCACTTGTAGCACTCATATCCAAAACCACCTCTTTATCACAAACCAACGACCAAGAGGGACCCGAATACAAAATTTCAAAATTGTACCACCTTCATCAGGGATTACTATTCCAAATTCTAGCTCATTCCGCTTGTCCAATACATAGTATTCAATTTTTAGTACTTTTTGAACCCTTTTAGTACGAATTTCCAAAAAACCAGCTTTATCACACGTCTACACCCCGCGACAAGCCCTCGTGCAAAATTCCAAGACTCCAGCGTCAGTCGTTTCGTCTGGGCTGGGATTCTGGATCAGTCAGTCAGTTATTACTACTCCATTCTATATATACATAATTTAAGTTTTACTTTTTTTAATCCCACAAAATCATCATTCTTTTCCTTTTTTATATCCTTAAATTTACCATTGTCATCGAAATGTGAAATACGCAAAAACCTTGTCTAAATATCGTAATTATGCGACACTTGTGCAGGCCATTACCGATTTAATGCATTTTTAAATAATTTCCCAATTGCAAATGGCATTGCTGAAATGTTTTTTTTTTGCTCGTCGTAATGATTCAATTGATTTTCAATTCCATCAATGCCCTTTGTTGTTGTTTACTGTTGCTGTCGAAGTTGTTTTTGTGTGTGTGTTGGCTGGCAAGTGCAATTTAATTGAATTACAGTGCAGTGTTGTGCTGTGTGTCAAAATCCAAAACATCTGCATGGGCGGCGAAACTCACAACTGGTGGTGACAAATGTCAAATGTGGCCCTTTGTAATATCAATCATTAAGCTTTGTGTGTATGTGTGTGTGTATATGGGTATTTGTTTATCAACCCCTTCCGATAGAATTGCAGAAAAGGGAAATAAAGTACACTGCTTGCAATGAGATTAAATCAATTGGCATGAACTATATCAGAAATAAAGAAATGCCCTAGATGGCTTTATAAATTGTAAGGAAAATATTAGAGATCCACTTAAAAATTCGTAGACGATTTTTCTATTCAAACATCTTTCTGGAATACCCGGCATAACTTTATATGTCCAGTTCCAAATTTAGGCCGGTATGATAATTTTATATTTTTATACCCTCCGCCATACTATGGAGGGTATATTAAGTTTGTCATTCCGTTTGTAACACCTGGAAATATACATTTTAGACCCCACAAAGTATATATATTCTTGATCCGCATAAAATTCTAGGACGATTTAGAAATCACTCTAGCTTTCGAACGAATTGAAGTAGCTGGATAAAATTTTACTTAAATGTATATAATATCTGCATTATGTATACAATGTCTCCATTAAATGTATATAATGTCTCCATGTAGGTCCACGTTTTGGTATAGTCCCCATATAACGGCACCTCCCGATATTCGGTATTCTGATGATGGAAGCTATATTCAAATCTGAACAGATTTCAATATAATTTGACAATTTTTTGCACTAAATTCCGTCGCATATTCCAAATTTAATTGGAATTAGACACACATTTCGTGTTTGAATATTTTGAAAATATGCGAAAGCGGCCGAAAATATATATGGAAGCTATATCAAGATCTTAACATATTTCAATATAGTTTTTCTGTACCAAATTCAGCCACACAATTTGAATTTCATTGGAATCAGACATATATATCGTGTTTTGCATCAGATATGTGAAATCGGCCGAAAATATATATATGGGAAACGATTTCTACATAATTTGCGAATTTATTTTTGTACCAAATTTCGTCTCTCAGTCCGAATTTCATTGCAATCGGATATACATATCGCGTTGGGTGCATCAAATATTTAAAATTGGCCGAATATATGTATGGGAGCTATGTCCATATCCGAACTGATTTTAAATTAATTTGACAAAATTATTTTTGCTCCAAATTCCGTTGCGCACTCCAAATTTGGCGGCTATATCTGTAATCGATCAACAGGTATACAAAAACTAAAAAAAAAAACTATGTCCATATCCGAACTGATTTTAAATTAATTTGACAAAATTATTTTTGCTCCAAATTCCGTTGCGCACTCCAAATTTGGCGGCTATATCTGTAATCGATCAACAGGTATACAAAAACTAAAATTTTTGGAGGTACCTCCGATTCTGATGCTATATCTCCTGCTCCAAGTGAAATTCCAAAAATTTATATAGCCTATGTTACTTTCAGGTCCGTCCGTTTATCCGTCTGTGGAAATCACTCTAGCTTCCGAACGAAATGAATTAGGTTGATAAAATTTTACTCAAATGTATATTATGTCTACAGGTATTGAAAATGGACCATGTAGGTTCACGTTTTGGTATAGATCCATATAATGGTACCCTTTTTTGGATATTTTGTCGATTTAAGCGACATTATTCACCGGAAATGTTTCACATTTGGCACTTGAAGTTCGTAATGGATACTAGAGCCTATTTAACGTTCGTAAGTGATATTTCGAATATGTCTTCGAATAGCCCTCATATAACTATACCTCCCGATATTCGGTATTTTGATGATTTTAGCGACATTATTCATCGGAATGCTTTCAAATTTGGTATTTGTAGTTCGTAATGGATACTAAAGCCTACCTAGAGCCAATTTAACGTTCGTAAGTGATATTACAGCCTTTGACAGAAAATTGTCTGTGCAGGTCCATGTCTTCGAATAGCCCACATATAACGATAACTCCGATATTCGGTATTTTGATCATTTTAGCGACATTATTCACCTTAATGCTTTCAAATTTGGCATTTGAAGTTGGTATTGGTTACTAGAGCACAAAACAAAAAGTGGTCTCTGCAGGTCCACGTTTTGGTATAGTCCCCCATATAAAGGTACCTCCCTATATTCGGTAAGATGATGATTTTAGCTAAATTTATCAGCTACATTTTACATTTTTTTTTAGGTTTCTCATTTGAATATTGTAATGGCTTATGACAAAAGTTGCCTATGCAGGTTCACGTTGTCGTATAGACCTTAATATAACGGCTACATTCGGTATTTTTAAGATTTTAACAGAAGTTTTAACGGATTTTATTTTTTTTTTTTTTGAAAGTTGTCAAATTCGTTCCAATTGGTGGAGGGCATTCAAAGTTCGTCCGGCCGAACTTACAGCTTTTTCACTTCTTTAATATATGATATTTATAACCTACACCATATAGTGGTATCCGTCTGTCCATGCAGGTCGCATTTATTATCCGATTTAGTTTTCCAAAACACTAATTGTTTGGCCCAAGGACGAAACCTATTGAAATTGGTTAGAATCGGTCCAAATTTAGATTTAGCTCCTATATATATCTTCAACCAATTTAGGATTGTGCACCAAATGGCACATATCAGACCAAATGACCTGAATTTTGGCACCTTCGACCAAATTCAGTCTAGAAGCAGTACATAAAATGTGGAGAAAATCGGTTGAGATATAGGTATAGCTCCCATATATATGCCTCATCCGACTTGGTGTTTAGGTCTCTCATGTTCGTAATATGCAACCCTCAAGAATGATATTTGGTTCCAGATATCATATACTGTCAAATTGTACCAAAATCGGCACATCCAACTGAAATCATTCTAGAAACAAGTATTTAACATTTGGTGAAAATAGGTTCAGATATAGCTATAGCTCCCATACATATGTTTGTATGTAGAAGTGCCTAAAATTGTTTCAAGTTCGATTTAGATTTGGATATAGCTCTCAAATATATTTTCATCAGATTTCAGGTTTTTCGTGCACCAAATAGCTAATATCAGCCCAAACGGAGTGAGTTGTGGCACATCCAACGGAATTCAGTCTAGAAGTAAATACTTCAAATTTTGGTGAAAATAGCTTCAGATATAGCAATAGCTGTCATATATATGTTTTATCCGATTTGGGGTTGTAAGTCCCTCACATGCGTAATATGCACTCCACAATAAGGATATTTGATACCGGACATCAGATATAGCTTGAAAATACCTCTGCCAAATTTTATAGAGATCGGTTCAGATGTAGTATACATTCGATATACATTTTCATATTATTTTACGGTTATTGTCCACCATATATGTAATATCAGCCGGAATTGGATAGATTTTTTTTCATATTCTACAGAATTTTTCCATTTGGTGAGATTTGTTCCGGTTTATCTATTGCTCCAATAAATATTGTTTAATATAATACTTATCGAAGTCATATCACGCACCATACAGAAATGTTATTTGGAACTAAATGTACAAAGCCTCCTCCAAATTTGTTGAAAAATCGATTCAAAGTTGGATATAGTTCCCAAATTGTGACTACTCTAAAGACATGATACGCATTCAAATAAGCTTCATAGTTGGTATGACCTACTTCACATAAATTTCCAATATAAACATTTTTGGTACGGGAGCTCTACTAAATACGTATATCGGTGTAGGGTATAATATAGTCGGCCCCGCACGACTTTTCTATACTGTTTTTTTTTTTTTTTTAAATGTTGAATGCTTTTGTATTTTTTTTCCAATTTTATTAAACACAATCCACTGTGCAGCAATATCAACAGCATAGTTTTAATTCCCTGCACATCGTTTTTATTCCAACCGATTTGCCAGAAACCCAACTGATGTGCGGTTCGATATTTTCCATTTTTAGCAAAAACGTATGTGTGTGTGTGTGGAAAACCGAAAAATAACAAAGAAAAAGTTATTGAATTTGTAACAAAGAGCTAAGGGCGAAATTATTTAGTTTGATGTTTTTTTTTTTTTGGTATCAAACAAAAGAGATAATTGTTTGTGACATTTCATTTGAACTGTAACAATAAATAAAATACTTTTATGCATTTCACATGTAATTTAATAATTTATAGATAATACCATTTGTTTTTAAATCATATTTTTAATTCTCTTTCTTTTTTTTAGATTGTTAATCATTTGATCCCGAAATTGCAAATGCAGTGAAATTATGGTATGTTTAATCACTTTAATTTAATTGAATAGTATTAAAAAATAATTGGATATTAAAAAGAAATAGCGTCAGAAATATTTTAAACACATACATGTGGAGATGTGGTGGAGATGTGGTTTGCCTAAAATTGCATAACCTCAGTTATTTAATTTCGGAATTTGAAAAAAAATAATCTTACCTTTTATGGAAGAGGTTCAAAAACTTCCGGGCTTGTGTTATTAACCTTAACTCTTAGATTGATACGAACATTAGACATGAAAAATTTTGGAGAAATATGGACTTCGTTGCTCATGTTTTTTTTTTTAATTTTGGAGGGTAACAGAAATAGTAGAACGAACCTTCTCACACTAATGGAGGATTTTATATTACTAGAAATGTATGAGTTTGGCCTTGTTAAGGCGAAAATCATAAGTTTATAATTGATTTTCTTATTTCTCTTTCGAGATGTGCTTAATGATCTGAAATTTGGAAGAAAACAGAAGCGACGTGATCGAAATCCGCGTTGCAGTGGTCGAAAAATGGCTCGAGACCTGAACATATCGCAATATTTCATTCGCCAAATATTGAAAAATGAGATCGGGGTAAAGCCATTGAAATTAAAAAATAGTGCAAGAACTTACACCGCAACAGAAAGAAAATAGACTCAAAAGGGCTAAAGAGTTATTTTGCTTGGCCGAAAGTGGTGAACTGCCGAATTTGGTTTTCTCCGATGAGAAAACATTTGTTGTCCAGCAGACAAACAAAATTTTCGTGTTTACTTTCCAAAGAGGTCAGATGAAAATGTGGACCTTCGGTTGGCCACCAGAACTGAAGTGCCGGCCGCTCATATTAATCGACCGTGGTGAATAAATGACGAATATTATCGCTAAAATATTTTGGAGGGTGCCTTGGGCACGCAAACATTTTGGCCGCAGACCTTGGACATTCCAACAGGACTCAGCACCATCGCACTTAGTACGCCCATCCAAGAATGGTTACAAAATGAGGTTCCTCACTTCATTTCCAGCACACAATGGCCACCAAAATCTTCAGATACCAATCCGTTGGACTACGTATTTTGGAAAGCAAGGTTGGCACTATAAAATACCAAAGTGTCGATCACCTCAAGTAAGAGCTTCGCTGGAAATAGGCCAAAATACCGCCGAGCAACATTCGGGCAGCGTGTGACGGATTCATTGGACGTTTGAAGGCTATAATTTTTATACCATCCACCATAGTATGGAGGGTATATGAAGTTTGTCATTCCGTTTGTAACACTTCGAAATATACATTTTAGACCCCACAAAGTATATATATTCTTGATCAGCATAAAATTCTATGTCGAACGAAATGGTAGGTTGATAAAATGGGAAATACAGGTCCACGTCTTCGTATAGCCTTCATATAACGGTACCTCCCGATATGCGGTATTTTGATGATTTTAGCGACATTATTTACCGGAATTGTTTCAAAATTAATATTTAAAGTTCGTAATAGATACTAGGGCTTGTATGTCCCATATAACGGTGCCCCCAGATATTCGGTATTTTGATGATTTTAGCGACATTATTAACCGGAATTGTTTCAATTTTGGTATTTGAAGTTCGTATTGGATACTTCGATATAGCCTCCATATAACGGCACCTCCCAATATTCGGTATTTTGATGATTTCAAATTTAGAATTTGAAGTTCGTAATGAATCTCTGCAGGTCCACGTCTTCGTATATAACGGTACCCCCGATATTCGGGTTTTTGATGATTTTAGCGACATTATTTACCAAAATTATTTCAAATTTTGTATTTGAAATTCCTTATGGATACTACAGCCTATGACAATAAATTGTCTGTGCAAGTCCACGTTTAAAACACCCATGGTACCACCCTATATTCGGTATTTTGATTATTTTTGCTATAAACAGATTTTTTTTTCAAGTTTCGCATTTGAATATTGAAGGTCCACGTCGCCGCTACATTTGTTATTTTTAAGATTTTAATCGAATTTTTAACGGATTTTATTATTATTTTTTTTTTTGAAAATTGTTAAATTTGTACCAAATGGTGGAGAGTATTCAAAGTTCGGCCCGGCCGAAGTTACAGCTTTTTTACTTGTTTTTCTTTTTTAATGTAAAAATTATGTCGTTTGACTTTGTTGCGGTTATTTTTTTATCTCACCCTGTTTTTAGTATTTAATACTTTTTAGCATTTGGAACTAATCCAAACTACACTGCTTTTATTGTCAAAAATGTCCTATATACCCTAAGCCATATGGCTATAGAGATCATATATCATTTGATGCAGCCAAAACGTACCTCAACGTACCTTTGGAAAAAATCCGTTTTAGTACATTTGAAGTCGATCTAGCGATGTCCGTCTGTCTGGCTGGTGCGCATGATAACTCTCGAAGGGAGTATTCGATGTATTCCAAACTTGGTACATCATAATATTATTGTCAAACTTAGATCGACCCCAAAAAGGTCACACATTTTCAAAGAAAATAATTCACCTCATAGAAGAAGAAATCGTTATTTGATTTTATGCAAACTTAGCAACACCCAATATTTTAAGGTGAGCAGAAGGACATTATTGAACCACGCCTTCAAGTACCTCCCACAAAGGTTCAAATTTTGGAATAATTATAACTCTTATAATATATGAAATAATAAGTCGATTTTCTTCAAATATAGCACATACCAATATTTTTTTATCAACACAGGATCTGGTTTGAAAATGAGATATATGGGACAACTCTTTCTGTTACCTCCCCCATAAAGTGTTAAAATTTTGAATATCCAAAACGATCATAAATTGCGAATTGATCATTCAATCTCACTCAATCTCTTCAAATTTCACACATTCAAATATTTCTACTAAAACAAGCTCCGGTGAGAAGGTGGAATATATAGGACCACTCCTTCTGGATCTCCCTCACAAAGGGTTAACATTTTGAATAATGATATTTAACATAAAATGTGAAATAATAACCGGATTGTCCTTAAATTAATATAAGATCTGGTGTGAAGATGGTACATATCGGTTCACTGCTTCTGTTACCTTTCCTACAAAGAATCAAAATTTTAAATAATTATATATCTCTTAATATGCTAAACACTTCAGCCAGAGATCGCATGGGGTCATAATTTTGAAAATTTACAGCCCTTGTAACATGCGAAACAAGTCTGCGATTTTCACCAAACTTCGTGTATCTGAATATTTATATTAACCTAGATCTACTAGTTATTTCGGTCTTCTCCTTTTTGGTCAAACTTTTCAAGTTTCTCCGATCTATTTCAAGTTTCTCCGATCTGTCATTATAAAAGACTCTGACAAAAATCATTCCTAATACTTCATGGTCAATTATGATGTCGCTGTGAGAAAAACTATGTAATAAAAATCCAACTTTTCTAAAACTTCTAATCTATGATCTTTCATGAATTTGCTTCACTGACAAATTGGATGACATTCATAACCATCCTCGCTGCATCGTATCGTATAGTTGTTGTGTACGAACATTATAACTATTTGGTGTACTTAAAATAATAATCTGAGAACATTGCAACTAATTAGGCTAAAACAAAAGGAAAAGATGTTTCAGATGAAGGCGCATCGTCGTTGACAATCATCCTGGGAAATGCGAAACATGGCAAGGAAGCTGCTCTAGCTGCTAGATGCAGTCAAATGAACGTAAAAAATTTGAACGAGCGCATTAAATTCTTCGCTAAATTAGCTCCCATTGATGATAACGGCGATGATGACGCTGATGATGGCAGGGTGTAGTGTTGTGTTGGCGGCTGGTGTAAGGAGGATGCAGCATGGCGTTTTGGCTAAATTAATGAAGATGATTAAACGACTTTTCCAAACAAATGCTTCAGTAACAACAGAAAAAGCACTTAACGTTGATTCCTGTTTTCTTGTGGATGGTTGGTGTTTTTGTTGCATCATTTTTTTTTTGTTTAAATTGCCACGACCAACAATTTCGCAGATCCAAGGATTTCCAAGAAAGAGAATGAGAGAGCAAGAGAAAAGGAGGATATGCTGGGTGAAAACAACATTAAAACATTATAATGCTTATTTTTGTATTCCCTACATTTCGGATATAAACGTTGTCTAGTTTGTTCGAATTTCACAAGAAATAAACGTTTTTCCCAGTTACACAGAATTGGCTTCGCACTGCAAAGAGGGAGCAATACAATTAAAATATGCCCCAGAGTAAAAACAGTTAATTTATTGCAGAGGGAAACTGTAGCGGAAATGAAAAAAAATGTCTTAATATTTTTTGTTGTAATGTGTTGTTGGCGGGAGGATACTGTTGGCGAGATATCGGGGGAGAATGTGCATACTTCATAGATTTTTATATTTCATGGGAGAAAATGTTGCTATAATTCCACATGGTAAGCCTCTACACAAAATTAAAACTTGAAACATTTAAATATGGAAAAATGCCCTTTATGGGAAAGATGTAGAGAAATGTGCCGAAAGTGACAAGTACCCACATCTTTGTTTGCAAAGAGGCAACATTAACGAATATCCGATAAAGAAATATCGAACAAACCTCGAAATATAAAATGATTTGACATGTAGTCCAATAAGAGTTATACTTCGATCCAAGTAACTTGTTCCGTATCTAGTTCCTTAAACTCCGGCCATTTGTATGAAAACTCTGGGTATGAGCGATTTGAAATAAACGAAATTTATGAAATCACTTATACCTTTAGGAAGTGATGTACTAAACTATGAACCATACAGGTGAGATAAAAAAAAACCGCAACGAAGTTAAACGTCATAATTTTTAAATTTTATTGAATGAAACCAAAAAATGTCGGAAATAGCATCAAATTTTAGATTTGTTCGAATTGGTCACCTTTGGCACGAATTATGGCCTTCACGCGGCCAATGAAACCGTCACAGGCTGCCCGAATGTTGCTCTGCGGTATTTTGGTTCATTCCCGGCGAAGCGCTTGCTTGAGGTGATCGACACTTTGGTATTTTTTAGTGCCAACCTTGCTTTCCAAAATACTCCAGA